CAAAGGACTCTGAACGACAAACTGCGCTTCACCTTGCCGTGAAAAATGGCACAGGCTCTGGATCGGTATGTGTTGAGTTTCTGTGGTCTGAGAAAAAGGGTCTTCAACCGTCTAACGAATTCTAAACTACTTGTAAGACAAACCACCTCATCATGTACTACCTGTGCATGACCCTCCTTGACGTGAGGGTTTGGTATTGCATTACTGTATTCATAAATATGTCTGTGACTTCAGCTGAAGACATCTTGGTCCATCATTACTTCAGATTAAACCTAGGAATGCATCACTTTTCATCAGTTATTCATCGTACCATTTCCTAATTTTTTACTATTTAATTTACGGACGAAGGAGTTGGCATTGACATCCTGGATTTTTCTCATTTAGAAAATGCAGTACTGTAGTTGAAAAATGATCCATGTTACACTGTATTTGAAAATTTGTGGTCTGGAACAATGATCCGTCATCCGTTGCGTGATCTGACTGAACTCAAAAATATGTGTACTGTACTGTGTTCGAAACGAACCGAATTTACAGGATTTTGGATTTTTAGAGCGGGGTTTTGTCTTCTTCATTTAGATGGAAGCAAAAGAGTCCATCATCAGACATTTGCTGCTTGCTGGAGCGGATCCGAATGCTCTGACTCCTCGACGGCAAACTCCGTTGCATTTGGCGGCAGCAAATGGCGGTGCAGAATTGACAGAAGTGTTGTTGTCGAGCCAAGCTTCACCTGCAGCTGTAGATGACGAGCAGAACACTCCGCTGCACACTGCCATGAAAAACAGCAGGTTTTCCGTCGTCAAAGTCTTGATCTTGGACGACCGAACGGATGTTCATGTCAGTAAGCGTTTGATCGTGTGATTTCCTAGAACGGAGGGTCGATGTGTAATGTTCGAAACGAACGCGCTTTTGGAAAATTGGAGCCGAATTTCATGATACTGTATTGTATTTCAGAATTAAGCTGGGATTTTTTCCTCATTTCTTGTCGGAGTCTTCTTGAATGCATGAAATATGGATCTACTAGTTATTATTAGTACTGAACTAGTTATTATTATTACTGAACTAGTTATT